GGGGGGGGGGGGGGGGTCCTTAAAGCCGTGCATGCCGTAGTCGGTAGACGTTAGACCGTTGGCATCGCATCCCTACAAAGCCGGGGCGGTTCACGCGGGTTTTTGACCGGACCAGTCTACCACATCAGCGCCGTGAGGTACAGTTGTATTCGGAGAGTAGGATGGAAGGTGCGCTGCACCGGAGGGGGGGGGGATCGTGGGGTAATGACGGATTGTAAGCGAGCCTAGAAATCCTTCATGTCCGTGGGGGAGAGTTCATATCAAGCACGAGCTGTGGTGCCAAGAACCACAGAAGGGTTATCGTTCTCGCAAAGACGTGAGGGGTTGGACTTCTTGGTGCAGGAAATTTTGATGTTCCCATCGGTCCCACTCTATCCCCCCCATCGTTTTTGCCGGAACCTCTCCGTTTCTGACGGGAAGGTCGCTCGACGTTCAGGTCGACAGCGTGTCCCTCCTCGTCGGACATTTACGCCGGTTCGTGAGCCTCCCACCGCCGGTAGATGGAGGGCTGGAGGGCACGGGCCCGAGAAACGGCGGGGGTGGCGGCAGCGGCAGCGGTGGCGGCTCACCGCTCCTCTTGGGCCGTTGTCTGGACTCCGCGGGGGATATCGTTGAGCCTCTCCCGCTTCTCCTCGGCTGCCTGCACCGCATGCTGGTGGCGGGCAGGGAGAGCCTGACTGAGCATGCGCACAGCAGCAACAGCAGCCTGAGCAGAGGTGGGGGAGCTGTCGACCCGGAAAACATGCTTGACGATGACGACGGCGACGGGCCTCTGGGACCGGCAGAGGCGGCGGCGGCTGCCGTTGCGGGGAGGCTTCGAGAGACCCTGAACAAGGTGGAAGACGACCTTCGCAGGCTGTCTGCGGCCCTCTCCGGCTGCCCGCTGTCAGAGTTCGACCTTGACAAGGTAGCGGACTTCTCCCCGAGCGGGGGGCTTGCTGCCAGGACGAAGCTGGCCACCGCCGCCCTCCTTTGCGGCTCCTACGAGGCTCTCATGCAGGGCTCGCTCCTTCTCCCGGCGACCGTCGGTGGGCAACGCTCGGCGGCGGCGGCGGCTGCAGTCTCGCCAGTCCATGGCTGCAGCAAGCTCCCCACCCTCGCTTCCGTCCAGGGCGTCTTGCGGCTGTTCGACTGCCGCCAGGCCCTGCTAGATCTGGTTCGACCTAGCCTCCCGACCGCGGCCCAGCAGAGGCCGAAGAAAGGTAACGGCGGGGCTGCCAGCAACAGCAATAGCAGCAGTAACGGTCTCTGGGGTGAATCAGAGAGTTCTTCTGGAGGTGGAGGAGGGCAGCCGGGTTTTTCGGCGGCCGGCTGCTTCGGCCTGACGTTGTACCCGGGAGGCATGCCGTGCCTAGGCCTGGTGTTTGTGGAGGATATGCTGGCGGTGCTCAACGTCGATGCGTCGAGTGGCGAGGAGACCGAGGGGGACACGGAGCGCGACCCGGGGCAGATTGAGGTCGACCTGTCGGGAGATGGTCCGCCGACAGAGGTGGGTTGTCACGGTGGAGCCAGGTTTTGATTGATAGGTCCCGTTGGTTGCCTTGACCAAGTATTTGTCCATTACTGCCACCCGATGTTTGTGAATCGTGACAACATGCGGACTTACCGGTCGCCCCGGTGGTCTAGTTGGTATCCTCGAAACCTTCTGGAGGTCAGGCCAGGGGTTCGAGTCCCGGCGGAAGCGAGCTTTTCTTGCAAAGTGAGTTTTTCTCTCGCTTCCGCTCCTGGCCTAGTGGATAGCGCTAGTTCGTGTGTACACAGAGGAAAGAGAGGGCTGAACTCTTCTCGCGTTAAAAATCGAACGCGAAGCACCGCAGGAGGGTAGGGTAGAGAGGGGCTCTTCTGTGTGACCACGGGTTGGAGTAAACGGCACCAGTGCTGTGAGCGCTGATTTGACGTGAAGACGAAAAAAAAAAAAAAAATGGAGCGTGAGGGAGCTTGTGATATGGGCTTTGTGAGACAGCCCGCGCACGGCAAGCACCGAGCACTACATTAGGATGCCGTGGTTTGATCCTTTGGACGGCGGCGGTACCCCTCAAGAGTAAGCGAAAACAGAGTGTACCGTTGCACAAGACGGGCAACCTCTGGGTTCTCCTCGTCCACCCAAATAATACTCAGCGCCGGAGGTTGCGGTTATCACGGGTTTCCGTTCGTGACTTCACTTCATCGCCACTACCCCCTCCGACGCTGACGTATTGTTATTGTTTTCTCCTCCACGCCGTGTGAAGGCTGTCAGAGAAGACCTCGGTCTGCAACGCCTCGCCCTGGAGACCTGCCGCGGCCACCTGCGCTGCCTCCGCGCCGGGGCCGCGCAGCCCAGCTCCGGCGGCGGCGGCGGCCTCGCGGTCGACGTCGGGGGCGGTCCTTCCGCCGTAGGGGTCGCCGGCGGTGTCCACGGAGGAGGGCCGCGGGACGAGGCGGACGCCGGGAGGGCCGGCAAGGCGGCGGTGAAGAGGTGCGCGGTGCTCGCCCCGCTGCTGCTCAAGGAGTTTTTCCGGCAGGTGGGTGCATCGTGCGAGAGATAGCTGTGGGCGCGGGGCGCGAGTGGGCGACGCGGTGCTTACCAAGACGCAGAGGGGTGTGTTGGAGGTGGAATTGCTGCTGTGAACGCCTCGGGCGTTTGTATCGGTTGGTACTTGCATGTCTCGTGGGGTTGTCTAACAGCCGAGGTCAAACCATGCGACTAGTCAGCGCTGACTAGTCTATTGGCTTCATTTCGGCTTTTTTGGGTGTGGTCGTTGCATACTCCATCGCAATTGATGACGTGTGCACGCACATGCAAACCTCACGTGGCGGCATGCACACAGGTGACGACAGGGAACACATCCGGCGCCGTCAGGGACGCCGCCGCCGCCGCCAAGGCTTCGAAAGGGAAGGGCAAGAGCGGCGGCGGGGATAAGGGCACGAAGAAGAAGACGTCGTCCGCCCCTTCCGAGTCTCTCGCGGAGGTGGCGCTGTCCTGCTTCGAGGAGTGCGTGTGCATCGCGGCGCACTGCTCCCCGCAGAAGGGCACGGCGGCCTCGCGCACGGCCAAGATGCTGGCGGTGAGTTGCTTCTGCGTTGTTCGGGCCGTGTTGTAAGGTGCAGCAGGTAGGGAGGTGGGGTTGTACAATATAGTCAATAGATCGAACGAGACCATTGAGCGGTGTTCCGGTCGGCTTGCCGCCTAGGCCGAAGAAGACTTGGGGACGCAAAACGTGAAGAATGCTTCCTTCCGGCCCAAGAGAGGGGTTTGTTCGAAGCCATTTCGTAATCGGTTACAAACGTAGTGGGCTCTTCACGGATGGAAGGCTTTCGGCGGCCGCACCACCCGCCGCGGCGCTCGGCCGGCCATTCGTTATCCCTGCTGCAGGATAGAAGAAGCGGCCGGGATACGTGCACACTGAGGTTCCCGGGGGGCGTTTCGGCGAGCCAGACGCGTCAGCTCGACACCACCTCCTTCGGAAGAGTTCATATATATACCGGGGTGTTGTCGAAAGCGCCGCCGAGACGAGGTTGTCCTCGGATTGTGGCGGAGCTACCACCGAAACTTGATCTTGATGCCCCCTCGTTCGTCCCTTCTCCCGTTCTTTCGTTCAGGCTGCCTACGATAGCTTCCCCGACTCCAACGTAGCGCCGGCCGATCCCGCCGCGGGCCGTGGCGGGAGCGGAGGCGGCGGGGGGGCGGCGGTGGCTGCTGGGGTGCTGGGCAGACACGCCGAAGGCCTGGTGAACACCTTCGTGAGCCTTGTTGGGGGCGAACAGGTATGAAAACGCTGTTGGTGGCGAGGGTGAAGCTAAAGCTTAGGTGTTGGGACCAATCGGAGTCGAGCCGTGTGCTTCGTGTTTGTTGTTTTTTTCCTACAACGGTTCCTGGCCCGCGTGCGCCGTGGGTGGTTGCGCATGGCGCTACTCGTGCAACGTCTGTTGGCGGAAAACAACAAATGGCAAGCGTGTCCCAGATCGTGCAATTGACAGGTGGGTACGTGCAGATCCCCTTTCATAAAGCGTAGAGTTTCCCTGCTGTCCGTCGACGACGGTTTTCCTCTCTTCAGATAGGGTAGGCTCTACGAAAACTATCGGATCGTCCACCCCCCAGTCAGTGACGTGAGGCTTTGGGCTTCCCTAGATGTGCGCCTGGCCTCGGCCGCCTGGTCCAAAGCGGGTGACCCTCCTTCCCCCTTCCCTCGCTCGCCGTGCGCGGCAGATAAAAGAGGCGGAAACGGTGTGCCGCATCCTGTCGCAGCTGAGCCGGCTGCTGAGGTTGCACCCGAAGAGCCTGGAGACCCACGGGGCGTCCCTCAAGCGCGTGTGCGAGCAGCAGAACATCAAGTGCCCCGGCCTTGCCAAGGCCGTCGTCTCGCTCTACCTTGAGGCGAGCGGTTGACTGTGCCTCTCGCATCGTTGGAACGCTGTTTTCACTACGTAGAAGGAAGGGTGCTCAAGTGACTGATTGACCATGGACAACACTTACCGCCACACAAGGATGTTCGGCCATCCCTGAAAACATGCGCCGCAAGGGTCTTGAACCATGTAAATACCGCGTGCCACCATTCCCTGCAAGTCGGAGCAATTTCCAACGTAAGTTATGATGTGCCGCTTATGTTTTTGTTGTTTGTGAAAACGCCTGTTGCGTGCGCGTGGCTTGCCGCGTGCCGGGGCATTGATTCCGCTCGCCGTTCTGCTGCCGACGAACCGTCCCGTCCGTGTCACGCCAGGCGCACATGTCCATGAAATCCAAGGGCGGGAGAATCGCCGCCCTGCACGATTTGGCGAGGCAGGTGAGAGACTAGGAGATGGTACACGTTGTACAAGATAAGATCGGTACGTTCACAAACGTGTTGATGCATTGTACTGGCAGCAGACCCTAAATTGTTTCTTGTGTGTAGATACTGCATCATCGCTGATACATCGGCTGGGAATCGGGAATGTCGACGAAGTATGTTATGAAACGGGCTCGGCTCTTGCAATATCGATATCACGACGCATTTAGTCATCACCATGGCCGAGTAAATGACCGATTGGGTTCCCTATCCTGTATCCGTATTTTCCGAATCACGACCCACATTCAGAAGAACGAGGGTGCGCTTGCCAATTTTCCTGTCGCGGGTCGCTGCGAGCGCGGTAGGCTTTCTCCTCGCAGAAATCAATGTTCAATCGGTATCATAACCTGTAACGGCTTTTTCGTCGGCATGATGACCTGTAGTATAACTTATTGTGTAGTCACGTAGTCACGATACCCCCAAGGCATCAAACCTTGAACGAGACAGATGAACAGTAGAGCGACCTTCTGCGGGGTGGCATTGTTTTTGCTGCTGCTTCCTCTTTCGAAAGGTTATCTCTGGAAAACCAACCTCTGAGGTCTAACTGAACCAACCGCTCGGCCGTTGGCTTGTTTGCGTCAACAAGAACGTTTTTTCAGGGTAGTACCGACTGGCTGTGTACCTGGTCCTTGGCCTCCGCAGGTCTCGGCTTGCCTCGGCCCCCGGGAGGAGGACGAGGAGGAGGACGATGAGCCTCCGGTGGTGACCTTCCAAGTGATCAACAACTTCACAATGAATGCGATCAACGACGTGAGGAAGCAACGGCCTGCTTGCCATAGACTGACAGCAAGATGTGCCAAATAAATTGAAGAAGAGAGCCACGTGTATGGTATGTAAGAAAGTCTGTGTTTGGCGGCCGCGGTGTTATGATTTGTTGGGTCCTACGATGCCATATTTGGTCGGCTCCTGCGCTGATGATTCTCGCCCTCCTTTTGTGCGTTTGACGCCTCTCTCTCCCCCCCCGCCAGTCCTCTACCCTATTGTATACCAACCATGCCTCTGACGTGAAAGAAGCAATTTGTATACCAGAAAGGCGCCACACGGCATTTCCACCCCACCTTTACAAACGATCTGGTCCTTGGACTGACGGTGATCGATCGGCCTTGTTCTTACGGGCTCGTGTTTGTCCTCCATTCCTTCTCAAGACGTTTGCAGTGACACTGAACCACTGATGCCACCCGTGTGTGTTCCTCCCTATCCCGAGCCCCCCGTCCTTTTACCAATCACATCCAATCCTGTCTCGTCGTAGGTCCGTAACCCTAAGGTCTATCTCTCTCCACGTAGGTTACCGTCGGAACGGTGCAGGCGTGCATCGGCGACGTGGAATACGCGCTGCGCCTGCTGCAGAAGGCGGCCCTGGCCAGGCAGGCCCGCGTATCTGCGCAGACGCCCGAGGGGATGCGGAGCTTGCTTTCTCGCGGTGGCGGCAGGGGTGGGGCGGGAGAATCGCAGTCATCCGGAACGGCTTCCGAGGCAAGTGATGACGTCATCCATGACCCCGGGAGAGGAGGATGGATCCTACCTGGATGTGGTCGCGCGAGTCGGAGTCAATTGTGCCGAGAGGCTCATCAAAGACGGATGGAAAGCTAGTGTATTCTCCGGGAGGCCACCACGTCTTTCTTTCCGGAACACTCATTCTCCCATTATACGAAAAAAATACATATTACCCGCCATCACTACTGTAGATCTTGGCCAAGGCTAGTTTCTTATGTTGTCTATGGGGTACCCCCACGGCGGCTATATAGGTTTCAGTGTATTGTGGGCTTCTTGACTGATCACCTGTTGTTATGGAGAAATTCTTAGATTTTTGGATTTTTAGGCTCAAGTTCTTAACTGCTAAGCTCTTGAGGGATGGCAGACAATCGGATTTTGATCTGGACTGATTTTGAGAACAACCGCAAGAGCACCAGAAAATGCACAAGAGGTACACAAGACCAGTCGGAAGGCATCGCGAAAAACAGAAGTCGTTGATTCTCGCAGGGGGCGGAAGTGGAGGTTGATCTAAACACACATTTCACGCGTCTACCTCCACACGTCTCCATTGAAATCAAGATAAACATTCACACCAGTCTAAATTCAAGTGAAAAGAGCCTAAACGGCAGGCGCTCAAACAAGGTCGGTTCGCGCTAGGTTCTATGCATTCTACTGATGTATCGCTAGAGGACACCCTAAAGTGTATCAGCGCGCTCGAACCTGCTTGTTGGGTGGTGGTATCGAGGGTAGCATAGTATAATAGTGGCGGCCTACAATCTCCGCAAACCTTCCGCAACATAGACCGACACCCTGCGTCTTGTAATGCTTGTGCTCGCCGCCACTGACCCAATATCCTTAACTGCGGGTTGACTGCAGTAGCTCATGACATTAGCTACTGCTGACGACCCTCGTTCAGGATTCACGGTCCGTGGCGGTGGGCACGGCTGTGACAAACTTTTGGTTCCGGCGCAGATTGTGGACTGTTTGCAGAGACTGCTGCGACCTTCGATATTTCAGCTCGAGTGGCAAACCTGAACGTGCCAGCACACAGGACGGCTCTTCATGGTGTCCTCTGCTGCGAACAGTAGAATGCATAGAATCTAAAGGGCGGGAAGGTTACCTTTCAAGTATGAAATAGAGCCAGCAAAAAAATAGCTTGTCTTCAATCGCTTGAACGTGGTGGCGCGTTCTGTATCATGGGACATCAACAGCAGCAGCACCAACGACAACAAGAGCAGCAGCAGCAGCAGCAGCAGCAGCAGCAGCAGCAGCATACTAAATACTCCACCCTCGCCCTCAAGTCCGTCCGTCCCGTCCGCCCTCACCCCTTCAGGACGACCTCAACTCTGACGACGGGTCCTGCGCCGACTTCGGCCGCAACTCTGACTCGGACGAAGACGCCGCTGGGATAAGGAGCGACGGCGGGGTCGGCGAGAGAGACCCCCTCGATCGCAGGGAGACCCTGGTGTGCGACCGCCTCCGCGTGGTGATGAACGCCCTGACCGTGCTGCTGGCGAGCAAGATGCCCGGGAGGTCTGTGGAGAAGCTGGTGTCGAGCGCAACCCGCGTGTTCCGCACCATGACAAAGGTAAATGTAAAGGTTTGGTAGTTGTTTCTCTGCTGCGCAGTAGTGGTGGCGTGTAGATGATGGCTTTCGAACATGTGTGCTTCTGAAGGTTGTCTCTGAACATGTGTGCTTCTGAAGGTTGTCTCTCTCTGCGTACGGTTGTGTGTTGTTTCTCTTCACAAGACTGCCGTGTGTAGATGAGCTTTGTTGAAGCGGGCGACATCTAAGGAGGAGGAGTAGGGGCGGTGTCGTAGCAGCAGAGTTTTGCGGCTATGCTCCCACGAGGCGAGAGGGGGGCATCCGCTGTAGGGTCCACGGAGCGTTATGCTTACGTACAAGGGCCGGAGAGGGGTCTATGCGAGCGACGAGGTCGAGGGGGGCCTCGGCTAGCCCCAACGTTTGTCGAATATTATTCCCTCACTTTTCATTGGTGATTTCCTGTCTTTATATCAGCGATTCCCTCTCCTTGCAATAAGCTTAAGAGTTGCGGCTAACGGAAAGACGCCCGTCTTTGTTGGGACAGAAACGACTAACAGCCCGCAAGGGTCCTTGGGGGTGTTTGTGTGTGTTTCTTTAGTTAGGATCGACCGCGGAAATTGGCTGACCAATGAAAAGACGTCAATCTTTGTGGCGGGACGAACAAATCCAAGCGCTGTCTGATCTTGCAGAACCTACACCCTACACGTGGAAGATTCTCCGGGCCTGGAAGATCGCTCTGAGGACGTATTCGCTCCTGCGAGTAGACCGGCGCTCGCTGAGACCAAACACAATATTCGCCATGAAAGAGCGGTCCTCGTTTACATTTGCGTCGCCGAACTCGTGCATGTGTCAAATCATGCCTTTTCTTCTTTTGGCTGTTTGTTTCCATCCAGGTCCTCAAGGTGCGACTGTCGCTCAAGAAGGCCTACATTGGCGCGGGCCTCAAGCATGTGCTGGCTACCAAGCAGGGCTTCACCAAGGCCCTCCAAGAACTCCTGCCGAACCTGAACGGCGAGGACGAGACGACGAAGACGAAGAACAAGATGACCAAGAACAACGTCACGAAGAACAGCATCACCCGCCAGAGCCGTCTCGTGCCCGCCCTCATTTTTCAGGTGACGTAGAGTATCGATCGGTAGGATTGGGCGTGAATTGTTGTTGTGCGTATTGCTGTCGCCCGTTGTTTTTGTTGCAGGTTTCTGGTGGTGGTGTTGTTCACGAAGTTCGGCCTCATATTCCAGGCGGAACAAAAAAATATCTGTGCATCATACGAGTTGAAAGATAGTGTTGTGCAATATGCCCCTGCTGCTGGCGCGCGACACCGCGCAGATCGTGCAGATCTACGGCGGGTTCTGTGCATGGTATATGATAGCACCTTTTGCGGGGCAAAATTTAACGCCTTTCAGGGTGGCCGAACCCGTGTCAACACCCGTATTCCCGTAGCCACATCTTCCTGTGGTCCTGTGCGTGTTCTCTTCCGAAGACGCCTAAACACGCATCCGATGTACACACGACACTCGTATTACGATTGGAATGTATCGAATGAAAGGTATTGATGCAGGCTGGCCTGCGACACCGCGGAGACCGTACAGATGTACATCGTGGCATCTACGCGCTTCCGACCGTAACCCTTCCTCTTCTGCTGTCGTTGACGGCCTTTCAATCCCTTCATGCACGCACCTACTACCTGGCTTGGTGCTCTTGCAGATCGAAGAGTGCGATGTCCAGCTCCTCCTGCTGGGCAAGCTGTGCAAGGGCTCGCTGGACCTACCCAAGTGGGTGACCAGCCGCGTCGACCGAGACTTCAGGATCAACCAGAAAGTGGTCGCCGAGTGCCAGGAGGAGGTGAGGGCCTCCCGGCAGAAGCGCAAGCGCGAGGCCACCGGCAAGAAGAAGAAAGACACTGGCTCTGCGAAGAAGAAGAAGGACGCGAAGCAAAACAAGGCGAGTTTTGGGGGGTTGTATTCAAAGGTAATTTGGGAGGTTTGTTGTACTCATACATAGTTGGAGGTTTGTATTCATAGGTACAGCAGCTTCAAGTCTGTCTGTGGATAACAGATCAATCTTTAAATAATATGCTACTGTACTCTTTTTGTTTAATGTTGTTTTTTTGAGGACCAGTCGTTTGTGTTTATGTAAGAAAAAAAACAGCGAAGGAAACATGCAATCATAAGATAGACCGCTTAATGAGGAGGCCGGATCCAGCCAGGAAGAATCTTAACCTTGGTCTCACGACACCGGCCGCAGGGAAGACAATCAAGAGAGACATGGAGCCGTGCATAGCCGGGCTCTGTTAGGCCTCAAGCGAAGAGGCTGTGGGGAAACTCCGTCGTCGTGTGGTAGATCATTAGCTAACATTATTTACGTATTGTTGCACGTCATTTTTGGACGGATTTGTTCGGGTTGCAAGAAGCACAATTCGTTATGAGGGCCACGCGGTGGAGGAAAGGAAGGAGGGGCAAAGACAATCGACACTCTCTATCTTAGGCTCAATACTCCAAGACAGAGCAATCAATCGACAATCTCGTTTTCTCAATTCACAGGGTAAGATCCCTCAACGCCTCGTCGAATCGGAGATCAAATCGACCGAAATTTGGTCGGACTGTGGACCAAAAAGTTGCTCCTTTCTTGTTGTTTTTCTGTCTGGCACATCCCGTTCCAATGTGGGTATATCTCGGACGGATAGTCTTTCTGTGTGTGTATTATTTTTCGTAATAATTGCCTTCGTTGTTGATTTACTTCTTGATTTGCTGTTCCACTCTTGAAACCTCTTGTTCGGTCCTCATATAAGTTCACGTGCAACTTCCCGTTCAATTTTTTGGCAGAGCAAAAGGCGGCAAGGAGACGACGGGGAGGAGGAGGATCAGGAAGTAGAGGAGGAAGAGGAGGGAGAGGAGGGTTGCGACGGGGGGGATCAGGAGGAGGAGCAGGATGATGGCGAAGAGGAGGGAAGCGGCGACGACGAGTAGACAAAGTGTCACGGGCGCCCCCCCATCTCGTTCATGACGGCTTCAAAAAACCTTGTCAATAGTACAGCAGTATTACAAACGTGTAGTATTAGCGTTGTGGCGTTGTTCACTTGTTTTTCTTTTCGCGGACGATGAGAAAATCCGTGAAAATATCATTTGCCCGAAAGACGCGCTAGTGTAGGGATCCACATTCGTGTGGGTCCAGGGTACGTTGCGATTCCAAGTCTTGGAGTCTTGGGCAACAGACGAAGGAAACGGCAGAGCGGGCGGACATGATGTATGTACGGGGCAATCGAGCGCGTTTCACGCCATGCGTAGATCGGGATACATACATAGGAGAAGGGAAAGAGGAGGCAAGCAAACATCTGCTGTTGGTTCGGCAGTCGAGACAATTTATCAGGAGGCTTGTGTACAATAGACTACCACGCGAGAGAAACCAGATCAGATATTTGTGGCTAGATTTGCATGTGGATGCGGATGTTGGGGGATTCATGCGGTATGGCTGCAACCATGTGGATGCATATGTTGAGGTATTCATGCGCTATATATAGGCTGCAACCCTATGTGTGCGATTCAGGCAGTACACGCCCTACAGCCAATAACACGATTCGTGCCGCCCCGCACAGCTCCAAATCATCCATTGATCAGCTAGCTACATTGTTGAGTTTCCTGACGATGTACGTTCGGAAGAGCGGGGTTGCACATACACTAAGACGCTCTGTTCTCATCATTCAAGGGACAAGTGCCGCTGCCAACGGCAATGGGGAATGTCAGAAAGAACAGAGGCCAACCCATTCGCACCAGTTTTCACTACTGCTGTATAGTCGAAGTCTTCAATTGAAAATGCGATATACTTTTAGTGTACGCCGCGTGTTGCACTAAAGGCCAACGGGCCGGGAGAAAAAGGACAGTACGCAGGTGCGTCTCTGCATCTACCGTATTAGTTTCAGACCTGGCGGGACAAAAGATTTCAGTAGGGAAAAAGCGCTTGCTTGCTCGTAGAGGTCGCGTTCCCAATCGATCGATTCATCATCCGCGCTGGGGAAAATTTCACCCATTCACCAAGAGATCCACTACTGTGCAGTGCGTTCAACGAGGCGGTAACTGATGATCCTCACCGGCATGAGATGGATATCCAAGCAGGTTGGGAACAAAACTTAAACTTTTGAAAACCTCGAGAAACGACAGTCATTTTTACCGGGCCAGGTTCCCTTCATCTCATGAACACTTTTCAGAACCAGAACACAGCACAAGACACACGCCCTGTGAATACTGCATGCACGCATACACATATTGGTCATTCATGTACACAGAATATGCATATGTGCATATCTACAGGTTACCTGTACAGCGTGTATCTACAACGGATCGAAGGTCTGTTCTACGTACCTGTGTATTGGCGAGACTGTTACAGCTGCATCGTCAGCAAACCCACGGCGGTACCATTCTGCGGAACCCCTTCGCCCTTCCCCGCTTGCCGCATGCCGTTCGTGGTCACTGCAAGCCTGCACCCCAACAGAAGACACCAGACGCAACAACACAGCAAAGAAGACTGCCTCCACTTGCTGCAGAAGAGCTAAGCACACCCTATATTGCCCGTCTTGTAACCATGCGACGATGTCGTGAACTCGGCCATTTGAGGAGATGGTCTTCCATCGTTGTTCCTAAATCAGCACGCAGGACCTACTCCGAGTATGCTCCGGCGGCACCTTCTCCCAACGACCTGAAGGCTCCCTTGCCCGAGAAGTATTCTGTGGGGAAGAATCTGAAGCTCAAGGTGGACCATGTTTGCTACTCGTAGTCACATGCTTCAGCGTTGCTTCGATTGTAAATACTGTGTAGGCTTGCGTCGACGTATGGTCGGCATTGTGACGGCGAACACGCTATGTACAGCAAGCGTGACCGCCGTAGGCAAAGCAATTGTGTCGCCAACAATACTAGTGGATAGCTGTAGAGACTCTACTCCTTCATTTTGTAGCACACATTGAAGAAACGCGCTTCGTGGAGCGCAACCTACGTCTACCTTCACCGTTCCCCCGTATCGTCGGCCCTCGCGCGCGTGTGGTCTTCTTATTTTACGCCATTGAAGGCCGTGCTGTTCCAGTACGATCTCCTGGCGGGATCAAACAATGAACGAAAGAGTATCACCGCGAGCTCATCCCCAAGCAGCAGCAGCATCCCAGGTGCACCTGCGTCGCCCTCCACCAGTTTTGATCCCTTGACTCCGTCCGGAGAAAACCTTGTAGAAGAAATTACGGGCGTCCTGGGCAAGGGAAGAGGGGACAGATTGCAAGAGCTCGGGCGGGCGTTGATAGCCGACCTGAAGGATAAGATGGGAGCTGCTGTGGATCGGTCGTCTGCACCGGCTCCGCCCGCTAAGCAACAAAGAGAGCATCAACTGAGAGCTTCCCAGGACTCAGATCCCAAAGCAAAGTACATGGAGAAGGTGCGACTTGGGTCAGCCATGCACAAGACCGGGGATCTCCACAACACGCAGCTCGTAACCAACGGCAGCGCATTTACGGCCCTCGTGCGTAGCCAAATGCGTTTTCTTTAGCACTCGCTCCCATTCCCTCCTGTGGGTCCTTTCCGCCTGACCTTCCTTCCCGTTCCCCCACCTGTGCTCAACAAGCCACCGTACACAAGTGTCACAGCAGCATATGTTCGAGTGTTGTAACCTTGAGGGGGCACATATATCCAACAGCGCGCCGCTCCATGCACCTTCCGTCCCCATCCGCCCCGTCCATGTTCCAAATACTGAGCCTCAAAAACACCTCTGTTCCGTTTGTTACGACAGCTGCGAAAGAAAACTGGCGCCGGGAGTTCTTCCGCCAGCCCCGCAGCCACCGCCGGCTCTCAGTCCGGCGGCGATGCCGACCTCTTCGCAGCGAGAAATCTCGTTTCAAATACCGAGGCGGCAAACTTGCAGTCGGCTTGGATGCTCAGACAAGGCGCGGGGGACCTGCTCACTTACCTGGCGGCTAGGAGCTTGCGCCTTGGCGTGATAGCGGGACCACAAACGAGCCCCCGAGAGTTCGAGAGCTTTGTCAGGCAGCTGAGGCAGCAGTCCATCCGGCTCAAGACTACCGTTTCGCCGGAGGACTTGGAGTTGGATGGCGTGGAGGCGGGCGTGGTCAGGGCAAGCAGAGAGCTGGGCATGGGAGAAGGGGGAGTAGGAGGGGCCGACGTGTTGTTGGTGGGGTCGAGCAACCCTCTCCTGAGCGCCGCTACCGAGGCGAACATGTTCACCGCGAGGTATTACCCTCCGAACAGCCGGCGGGAAGGCGTGATCCAGACCTTTGTTGTGCGAGATATCGACGAGGTAGGTGGGAGTGGGCCTACGGAGGAGCAGCAGTACATAGGAGGGGGTGATGACGTGTTGTCCTGTCCAGAAACTTAGGAGGAACGGATTCGCGGTGAAATGGGCGACTAACAATTTGGCGATGATTTGATGAGAGCGAGGCAACCGCCGCAGAACCTCAGAAACGTGGGAGCATGCGAGCTGACGGGGAATCCCTTCGGTGGTGCATGTAAACGGGGATTGCAGCGGGGGGTAGCCATCGCGTTGCCCGCGGAAATGGAAATTGGAGTGAACTGATCAGCGCGTGCAAGAGAAGCTCGGTCGGATTTCATTCGGGCCACCATCTAGCACAGCAAACGCTGCACGAGCTGGATGTCATCTTCGGTTCATTGCTCAAGTGATGCACAAGTAGATTGCTTACTTTGCTCGACTCTCGTTCCTACTCCGAATTGCAGGTGCGCACGGTCGTGGAGCAGGTTAACGGAGTAAGTTTTCGATCATAGTATCTACGGCGGAAACCGACCAAGGGCAGGATGCAAACAAAGTCCACAGAAAGGAGCAGGCAGAATTCAACTGGCCGGAACCCTCCTATGATGATATGACGAGAGCGCGAGTGTACTTGTCACACCATTTGGCGTGCCAGCACGCCGCTAGTGGAGATACACGGGTTACAGTACTGTTGTGCTCGTTTTGTGAGCTCTAGTGAACAGTCGGTCGGAGCCCGATGGCCATCGACGAAGAGCACATTCTGGTGGTGCTGGTCATGAAGCACGGAAAGGCACCAGTAGTAGACACGCGTTGGAGGGACGTTTTTGTGGCACCTTCTTGTTCAAAATGGGCGGTGGGCAATCGGGGCTTGATAACCCTGAATACGAAAAAGAAGTTGAACCGATGCTTGTACGCCGAGCACTTCCCGAGTCTCGCTTTACAGAGCGTTTGCTCGAAGACACCCGATCGTTTCCCGCCCTAGCGTGGTCCTGGCATCCGAGCCAATGTCGCGCTACCCTTGCTTGGTTGGAATTACCATGCATCATGCTCTCTTGTAGGTCGCCCTGCCCCACACCTGAAAAGCATTGTAAAACATGAGGGGGACATTTTTTCCTCGAGATTGAATAATGATCGTATGCCGTCAATCCGCATCGCCAAAAATGCACCGAACAGAATCCGTTGATAGCTTTAGAAAAGCCGTTTAGATAAAGCTTCAAAATACCGCTTACTGTGGTCCGGTCTGCATGAGACGTAAATTGTGTACGGGTGTCCATGGAGCTTCCCCCAAAGGCGTTTGTTCTTGCCATACGTTTTGTTTTGACATCATCGTCAACAAGCAGCAGCAGGCCGATTCAAAGAGCAGCTACAGAGAGCGCGCCCGCACCCAAGAGTGCAGAAGTTGAGCCTTGTAAAAAAATCATTATTGTTACGAACTTTGGCTCCATTTACGAGCTCGGTTAAGAGCCCCCTAAATCAAAACCTATATAGCGACCATTCGTAGCATGCCCATATATATTACTGTAAGAAACCCAGTCTCGGCCGAAACTAGAGGAGTTCTCGAGCGCGGGCACGTTCTAGTCTATATATATTAGACTATGGCGCGAAGAACCCCAAATCGAAACAAATACACGTAGTCTACGGCAAGCAGTTCTTGAGCACATTTCGACCGGGCCTTGATCGCGGCTTAGGCTTCCCTTCGTCCAAAGGCAAGTCAGGCGGACGCTGATCTACGCCATTTTGTCTACACTGTACTATGGATACAAATGAGAACGTCGCAGGGGGGTGGTGATATTTAGCGTCATGTTCGTATGCGACATGTTGAACAGTAAAGCAGCAGAGAGATTGCACATGCATGCTTATATACGGTCCTTGATGAGGGTGTACATAGTGATATTGAGGGACCGTCCTTGTTGCGGATTGCGGAACAACAGCAGTTTTCCGTACCTGATGCGGCATAATCGTCAGAGCATGTAGCGATTCCGAGCGAACCCGTACGGCAGTGACGTATGCATTGCTGCTGTAAGGTACCCGTGTCCCTGGACTGCTCTATATGAGTACGCTTGGTATCCTGACACCTGACACACATCCTACTGTAGACACCAATGAGTAGTACGAAAAGCGTTCCCTGTGGCCCTTCAGTGCTAAACTGTTGACAACATAGGCCTACAGATCACAGGCCTTCCGTCCGCTCTATCGGTCTCTGCTGCAGACCTCAGATCTTTTTTCGAAATAACGCCTGCTCCTTTTGAGCGGGATACAGGGGACGATTCGCCTGCGCGCGCTTTTTGCGGTGCAATTTCGAAACTCGTCGAGTCAAGACACCCATCACACATCACACATCCTGGTTAGATGTGAAGCCGTCGACACCGGGGCTTATCTCTGGGGAAAGACATATCAGAGCCCCGCCCATGCGGTTCCTCATTCCATCCCGGATGATCTGTCAGCTGTCATCGAGGATATCTCCTTTGTATGTCATCCTCTCCGCTAAAGATCGCGGAAGCGAGTACGGGCGACGAGGCGCATGAGGGACATTGCATGCGGAGCAAAAAGGACATCAGCAGCATCGAGGTTCGGCGGCAGCAGCACGAGTGCGACGGCTTGAACGGTGACCATGACCCAACGGACCGCCACCCGCGTTCCCTCACTTCCATGCTCGCAGATCCGCGGCGCGGCTCATCCGTCGACGTTGTCGAGACGGTCCAGCCGGGGGGAGAGTTAGAGGGTGTGAGCGAATTCATAGCGTTGAGTGAAGGCTTGCCACCTTTCCTTCCAAGCAACAACTACAATCCCAATTCAGCAAATGCCGACAATCAAAGCAACACCCACACCTTCCTCACGGATCTATTTCCTACCGGATTCACGAGCACTTCGGCGGCAGCACTACTACGACCTCCAGCAGCAGCAACGAGTCCGGCACACCCTGACAGTGCCCGCACCGCAAGCGTACCTGCGGGGGAGAAGCGAGAGATAGAGGGGCATCAAATGTGGGCTTGTTTCACGCCAGCTGCTGTCACGTCGTTCTCTCCGAGTGGCGTTGCTATAGACAATCGGGGTGAAGCATGGCGGCGGCGGTTGACTGACGAAGCGAATGACAAGACTCACCGCACATCGTTCCTTGTCCCAACCGTCGATCCGAATTGGGCCTCTCCGCGGCAGCAAAGAGGAGGTTGCGGAAGACAGCAACAGATTCGCCACCAAGAATCTGATGCTGACAGTAAGTTCAGAGAGAACATCCGGAAAGCTGGGCCAATCGATGTGGTTTCGCACGCGGCTATGACAACGATGGCCGGGCGACCACCAGTAGCAAGAGCAGCAGATGGTGTGGTCGCGAGGAGCGATGAGCCCCTCACCTTGGTTGGCGACAGAAATCACGGGGAGACCACTGAAGCAAGCACGATCGGACGAGAGCGAGAAGCCGAGCTCAAGCAAGCCCTAGATCGAATAGTTCTACAGCTTCTTCAAAAGGAAGAGAGGGTGCGAGAGAGGTTGTGATTTCATGGTTTGTGATGGGTTGCTGCACGTGAGATGTACGCGCAAATATGTTGCTGATAGCAGCCAAGCTTCCGTTCTGCAACCAAAAGCTAGGCCGCCTCACGCTCTTAGTATCTGAAAACGCTAGCCTCTTGCTGCGCATATCCCCACGTCTGTCAATAATCTCGTGTCAGGTCTTCACCGCTATCCCTTTGTTGTGGTGTAGCACCGAACTGCGGCTTGTCCTCGGCACGACCGTAACAGAATAAAAAAATTATGTTTCCAGTGACATGGCAACAGGTTTCACTTTTCTATTGTATGAACCCCGCTGTCGCTGCCGCTGCCGCCACCGCTTCTGCTATAACTGCTGTGCATGGTCCCAGGTTAAGTTCCTTGAGGCTGGTCTGAAGCAAGCCAAACAAGACGAATCGGGGCGGAATGCGTTGATCAAGCAAATCACCACGCTTGAGGAGGAGAATAAACAGTTCCGACAAAGGCTTGACATGCGCCAGGACGAGGCCCTGGTAAGTGCGTTATCGCGTTAATAATACCGTACAGTGTTGTGGTTGAAATTTTAAAACCGTGCCATATATGGGTCAGTATGGACTGCATGAGCTTGAAGCCAAACAAGCGCGCATGTCGCCTTCGCAAGCATGTATTTGGGCAAGGTACACGGTGTCCTCATTGGTTCATCAAATGAACACCGAGGTATTGGCACATGCTGCGTGCATCACCAATCATAATATGGGTCTTCGCCAACTCGCCAACTATGCAGCTCTCGTCGCACTCCTCAATCACACCAAGAGCACGCCGGGATTATCGTGAAAATACCCTTGTCCGTGCACATACCATCTACCAGGAATGGCGAGAACGAAGGCAATCACTTGAGGCCGACAACGAACGCCTCAGCACCGAGCTACGCAGCGCACTGGGTCGCATCACCCGCCTCGAAACCGAAACCCGCCGTAAGGATGCCTTGTTGACGGAGGCGCGGGACAGCGCCACCGCACGAGCAGAAAAGAGCTCGAGGTTCGAGACCGAGCTCCGCCGTAAAGACCAGCTCTTGGAAGAGGCCGAGCGAGACAAAAAGCGAGCTTGGCAGGCCACAAACGCTTCAGCGGAAACAGTGAACGCCGCCATGATGCGGGCCAAGGCGGCTGCCAAGGAAGCCTCCGACCTTCGTATTCTCCAAAACAGTGTCCGCTGGCAGGATGCTAACAGTGGCGAAAAGCTTCGCTTTGAAGGTCGGGCGGTGAACAAGCCAGGTAAATCCTTAACAGACGCACTGGCGGCTGCGGCTGCTGACGGCGGTGGACCGGAGGCGATGAGGCGCAGCTGGGGGGCGGTCGAGTCAGATCCTCTTCACAACGTGCCCGCGGCGGGGCGAGATGTTATTAGGAATCGAACGAGCTCCCTCGGCTCGGCAGTGGGGCGCTCGGTGGATCACACGGCGGCGGTGGACATTGTGAATCACGCCAACAACAAGCTTACGCGAATTGCAACAGCAGGCATCGAAAATACTACAGCAGGGGTGAACCATATTCCTCCGAGAGACGTCGCCACGGCAGTCGGTCAACCTGCAAGCCATGGCGTTTCTCTCGGGGATATCCTCGTCGAGAGGGAAGAAGAGAACGACGCGTGGCGAACAGATGTCGCGGTGTCGTCCTCTTCAAAAGAATCACGGGAGACAAGAGAATCAAGGCGGTGGGTGCATGCTGTGATCGGGCCAAACGCCTCTCCAACCAGAGCAGCAGGACGTGAGCTTTGTATTGTTGGAGATAGGCAGCATCATGACTCAGCGGGGGTGAAGGGGGCATTAACGGGGGCAAACCCGGCATGGACCGACATGCCACCCCTGTCGCAAGGCGGCTCCCCCGAAGCGATCGGAGGGTGCGGCGATCGCGATAATCTCGGCTACGGGCGGCGTCTGTTTGAAAGCAGCGGTGACGGTGCTGTAAATAGTACGCCTATCACCCACGGGGAAGAATGTAGAACAAGCGAGGAATGTCGAGATCATGGCAAGGTCTGCAGTGGGCATGGCGAGCGTACCATGGATGAAGTCGGGCTTCGGGACAAGGCGCGCGCCTGTGAAGATGTCATCAATGATGCATCAACAGCTGATTTTTCTTTCATGATGCCAAGACCCTACCCGGCGGCCGGGTGCAGGAGGGGTCGAGACTCCATGTCATCGCGCCGTAGCAGCCTCAGCGGGGCTGGTGCAGGAGTGATGGAGGTGACCGGCGAGGCATGCGGTCTCGAACCCGATCGGGCAACCGACGTAAGGCAGGTCCTTCCCACCATTTTGGACAACGAGGTTGGTAGCCCACAATCTTTCGACGAGAGCCAGGCAACGAGGAAGGGCCTCATGAAACATAACGCATCACAATCCACTGCTGCATCGGTCAAATCGGATGCTGTGGAAAGTCGAAGCCCGAAAGATCACAGTAGGCTCGGGATGTCGGCCTTCACGATGAGGGCATCAGGGCCTTGGCGTAGGCAATCATGTGCCGCAGTTCCAAATGAGCGGTTTTCATCTGTCACCCAAGGAGGGTTGCGCGAAACGAGCGACTCCCCTGGTGTCTCCGACAAGGAAGCGATAGCTCGTCGTGAGAGGCGGGCGTCGGCCCCGTTTGCCACGGATGCAGCAGAGCATGAGCTTCGGCCAGCTCGCGAGGTGGAAAGAAAACTTACTCTCCTACAGATGGAAATATCTCAGGTGGGTGACATGTGTAGAATCGAAATCTTGCACTTCTCGTTGGCCAACTCACTGTTATGTTGCCTGTCCGTTGAACGCACGGTTTTGGCTGGTCCTTGGCGTGTACTGATTGAAGCGAATGGTCTCTCAATAGACGTGACAAGCTAGAATGTCGTCATGCAAACAAGACACAAACCCTCCACGAAAGGGCCACGGCCAAATTCGTGCGCGCCCCTTGTTGGCTCTGCAAAGCATGGAAAACACCAGTGTTGAGGAATCGAGGACGAGGAGTGTTTCGTCGTTTTCACAAATGCCACTCTCTTTTGAGGTGACCGTTCGGCTGACCCTCGTCGTTTTCCTTTGCCCTCACTCAAAACTTCGCCGAATGACTCGCTCGCTGTGTGCCAAAAGCTAGAAGCAGAGCAAACTAAGCTACTGCCGAAGACGAGCAAGACCATGCAAGCGCGCGTGCAAATACGAGAGATAGAAGGGCGCTTGGCTGTTTTGGCTAAGGAGTCTTCCAAGCTTCGAAGGGTTTTACGAGAAAAACCGTGGACAGCGTGACGGCAAGTTAACGAGAACAAAACATTGAAAAATCTGTCTTTAGTTCGCCTAGCGATCATGGGGAAGTGGGGACGATAAAAAAAGGCCATAAAATATCGTTGCGCGAAACTTGGGCGTGTACAGGAAGCAGCCTTATCTTATCTTATGAAAAATTGAGAGTGTGTTCGCCTGCCCAGGCACCGTGGAGCAACGGTGGGCAAGAAGCAGCAGATAGATCATAATGTTATTGAACTACCATCAGTCAGTGTGTCCCGTTCGCTAGTACCCGCCACGGGAAAGGCATCTGCGACAGGTCATGTCTCCTGTCCTAATGCGAACCAAGGAGCTTTGTGTTTTGCGAGACTACTCACAATCCCGCCGCCCTATCACGAGCATGGTGTCTCGTCTATCCATCATCCTACAATACCCGTTCGAAACAATCGTGTACTCTACGACACCGCGGATGACAAGGTCGACAGACACCTATCGTCTCTTGACTCGTCTTGGATCTTCTGTACAAGGCCTGGCAAAACGTCAAAAGTAGGCAACGATACGGAGCTTTCCACTGGTGATCTGAAAACACGCCCCACTTGCACCATGAAACAACACGCCCATGTTGACGCTACATCTTCAACTTGGGTCTCTTGCTCCTGTGTCTCGCGTCCAGATCTCGCAAGCGTTCTTCTATCAAATCTAGGTCGCCATCCACTCGCAGCAACTGCTTGTCCAAAACCGCCGCCTGCTGGTGCTCTCCCCGCTGCTGAGCGCCGCCAATGTGGTACAGCATGTCTTCTCGTCGCTGAAGGGTTGCCTCGTATGCTCGCTCCAAGTCTTGCCGTTCTTTGAATTCGGCCTTCACCTGTACGCGGAGAGCATGGAAAGTAATGTGGAACGCGTCATGCTTCGTTTGAAGCGTGGACTTGTTTTGATCCGCGGCGCAGTCACATAAAAACTGCGACTTGCACATTGTGCCGAAACAAGCGCGCTGATAGCGAAAATGATTCATGAGTACCTACACAACATTGGACATAATCGGACAACGCAAATGCCGCAAACGCGCCAGCTGCGTTCAAAAGTTGAAGGTGTACGCGGGTCCGCGGAATAGAGGCGACATCGAGAGCTATGGGTTTGTGGGGAGAACTGCAGTTACGCACCATTGGCGTGCGAGTGATCGCACACCAAAGCTTGATTTCTCCACAAAGGAGTTCAAAAGCCGACCGATACGTGAAAGGGAAACTCCCTATAAGGTCTTTCCAGCGCAAGTCTTTTCGGCATTGGCAGCCTCTTGGTTGTGGAACCATCGAGCTGTGAAAGTCGATCTACGGGATGTTCGATCACTCGCGTTTTTACGGTGCATCTCGGCTGCGTACTAGCCGCGAATGATGAACGACGAATTGAAATTAAACATGAACAATCCTTTTCCTCTTTCTGTTGTACGTAGGAGCAAGCACGCCATCATCATTCCCCTCAGTGTTGTTGTTTCTCACATTAGCTTTAAAGTCCACAAAAAATGGGGAGCTCATGGTATCACAACCCGGCACATACGACGCCGCGGGGAAACAAAACATAGGGTACAAACCACTCGGAAAAAGCAACAAAATGATACAAAAGAAAAACACAGGTACCGCACCGACCGTTCGAGAAAAGAGCCCTCGGAAACCGATCAAAATAATACAAAAACAAACTTGAAGGAGGACGCTTCCCACACCCGCTTAAATAAAAAATCAAAGGGTAACGTAACCAGCACCAGGCACTACGCACCAGGGCACGGGAATAACGGAGCAACAGGACAAAGAGGCGGCAGATGGGCAGAGCCAGATGTACAAAAACAAAATGCGTGTAACAAGGGCTTTGACATTGACGACAGTTACAATAGCAGTGACGAGCGCCAGACGAAGCGGGGGTGCTGTTGTAGTTGTCCTGTACTTCGAAGGTTGTACATAGTCGAGTCTATTCTCTCTCTCTCTTCATCTCTCCATTTCTATGTCATTTGTCTCTTTCAGTCTCCCTCTCTTCCGATCTGTCGTCCGTTCTTGCGCCGCCCGCTTGGCCTGTGGCCACTGGTTGTATCGGATCCTGAGATAGTGGGGACTAAAGGAGGAGTTCTCTCTCACTGCTGTACATCAATGTATCAATGTACCAAATGCTGTACACCATTCAAATATATTTGGTAGGACCAAAGTCTGTGAGCCGAAAACAATCACACACCAGGGTGGGCGGGGTTGTGAAGTAAATGGAACGTCAAGATGAGGTATCTTGCGTGGGGTTGGGTGCAGGTTGCTGGGGAGATGTTCTCAACTTGTTTCGCGCACACCTTCGAAAGTGAAACAGTCCCCCAGCACGTGTACATCACGCTTACGTAGATCCCCAGTAGAAGGAGGAAGGAATAAAGAAGTACCCGGACGTCGGGATGCGCCAACAGGTGAGAATCCATGTGCTTGTAGTGTGGCGGGGTAGTGGTGGAAGAAGCAGCAAAGTCGAACGTCGACGGAGTGCGGACTGAGTGGTAGGGGGTGCGCAGCTGCGACTGTCGTTGGTCGGGGTTTGGTACATCATTTGTTGTTGCGGCCGAAACCAAAGACGACAGTCCCGCGCCACAGCCAGCAGCCAAGCAGGCTTCGTGCTCGCCTGTTAGGCCTGTATCCGGAGGTATCATGGAGGATAACAGTGGATGCATCGGCGAAAAACTCGCGCCATTCAATCCGAGCAGTGATGCCGTGATACGGATGGCGATTGAGATGCTTCAGGTGAGAGAAATCGTCTCTTTCTTGTACCATGATGTTCACCCTCGGGATGATACACAGCAAGTACCTGTGGTACCCACATCCCCCACTGCTTCCTGATACCTTAGGCCCACACCTCTCCGCATGCGTTGTGCGATTCCTGCTTGCTGCAGCTAGCGAAGGAGAGCATCCTCTACGATCTTGGATGCGGGGATGGACGACTACTGGTGGAAGCTATCAAAGCGTCCGGAGCCCGAGGGGTAAATATATGATGAGTACATAACTGAGACAAGCAAGAACATGTGTATTCTAGGAGCCACAAACTCTTCGTGAGCTGAGGTCCGAAGAGTAGTGGCTATGACCTGCAACTGGAGACTGCCTATTCACTTTCCATGCTGTATGGCGAGCAATGCCAAGCGTGACCGAGGTCATTGTCGGTGGGGTTAGCGCCGCTGTCGTTGTTGTTGTCGCCACCCTCACCGGCCAGCACGTCCAGCACGTTATACGGGTTTGCTGCTGCTGAGGTTGCTACGCTCGCGGTAGCGCCGGCGGCGCCACCAGCTTGTCCCGTTTTTGGCTGTCCCGTTTTCGGCTTGGCCGCGGGTTTGGCGGTGGACGCAGCAGCAGGAGGGGGTGGCGGCCTCGGCTTCTTTTTTCTTTCTTATTCTTGGGTTTCTGTTTCGCTCCTCCCATGTTTCGTGCTACATGGGTCGTAGGAAGCTAGCTAGCAATAAGATGCTTCGTCGAACACCAATATCGAGCCCTCAACTCTGGATGAGGTGAGAGTTCGGAGAGTGGTGGCTATGACCTGCCACTGGAGGCTGGCTTTTTCCTTCGGTGCTCTATGTGGCGAGGAATGCCAAGCGTGACCGAGCGAGCTGTGGTGCGGAGTGTGGGCGAGCCCTCGTGGACTCATTTTGCCAGCCTCCAACAGATTCATCGACTGTTCGCAGCTCTTGGGAATCAAAAGAGTAACGAACCCTTAGGAAGAACCATGATCTATGACTACAGATCCCTCAGATCCTATTCTTTATGTACGTGTGCCTGTACTTCCTGAATATCCATATCCTGACCTCCACATGTCTAGTACAAAAGTAAGCGTTAGCTGATTTACCTCGCAGCGGAATGCAAGCAGAGCATTGTACAGTCTGACTTTCTTTCCTGCTCAAACCTTTCGAGAATGTCCGATAGATGCATGTTTAACTGAAGAAGAATCTCTTCAAAGGAACTTGATTTTCGTCGCACGTATCCGGTCCCTCCGTTCTGTGTGCGTCCGTCGGTTCCTGCTAATTCTCCCGTTTTCCTCTCCTTTTGGTATACTGGTTGGCCCCATTTGGCGCCAGAATAGAAACGCCCATTTTTATCCCCTGTCTAGGCCAGCGCAGTCCTGAATGAATGTATGTGTCGTCCCTGAACCACCAGGTTGGAGTGGAATATGACAAACGCTTCGTAGATCGTGCTCTTTCGCGGGTGGCTGATGCGCAGCTGGAGCACAAGGTCAGGAACAAAACGGGTATGCATGTATTTCATAGCACCTTCTTGGCGTTTAGTTTATATGTTCTCGTCAACATGGGCAGCCATTCGCGTGCAGTCGCGTACGGTACGGGTATAGAATCAAGTACATAACGTCAATTTCGGGTCGAGGCTCAATCTCTCGCTTTGGGTAGAGAAAAAACAGCCTCAGCCGCTGAGTTTCTGAAAACGAAGAGCGTTATTTTATCTGCGGTGTTACCGTGAAAGTGCGTGTTATTGCACCCATCGTTGACTTCGCACCCATCGGTGTCATGGCACCGGCGTGCGCAAGAAAACGAGAAGGGCATGACTTCATTGCATGTCCGCATCGGTATCGTTGTTTACGCACCCGGTATCGTTGTTAACGCACCCGGTGCGATGTCAACGTTATAAATTCTGCTTAGAACGTAAATGTGCGTGCTTCCGCGATGTACCCGTACTCCCCGGGCCACTTTTTGAACTGCATGTAGTGAACGGCTGTGGGGTGACGGCAGGTATCAATTGGGGTGCCATTCCCTCATGTATTTATATTGCACCGTCGAGGTGTGCGCGTAGAAATGATTCAAAAAATTGTTTTTTAACGGGATTCCGTACATCGAATGCACTCACTCAATCAACCAAGCACTCAGCACGCATCCCGCACCTCCAACCGACCGAGTAAAAAGGAATTCGTAACAACTGTACCGGTACCGTACCTCTTGAGGAAGAAAGAGGAAGCACCAGGCAACAACTGAGGGGCTTGCGACCAACGGAGAGGCTAGAACAAAACCGATACCGTACCGTATACCTTTCCCAGCAGGGAACCACAGCGTATTTCGTCTTCGGCACACGCTACCCCAAACTCCCATCGACCCCATCACCGATGACAACTCCGGGCTGGTTGCACGGTACTGCCTACGCATGCTCCTACTGTACGAGGTACTCCCCATGAAAGACAACCTCGATCTATTCGCACCTTAAAATGGCCACGGTGATACTCACGTATCGAAGCCATCGGTGTCATCGCACCGGAGGTGTATTGGAAATCAAGAACGAAATTATTTCATTGTATTCCGCACTGGTATCGGTGTTATGGCACCGGGGTGCGATAACAAGCCAAGGTAGGAATGCTGTAGAAACCGATCGCACCCCGGTGCCGTAGCACGCACATTTATGATACTTCCGTTTAAGATCCTCTGGGTCTCATGACCATTTTTTCACCTACACCCAATTTTCGCCACCGTTGGCTCTGAAAGGTACATACTAAACAGAATCGACAGCAAGCGGCGATGCCGGTCTTCTTGGCGCCCCAATGTATTGCATCCCCCCCCCCCAAGTGTTCGCACCGCGGTCCACCAGCGACGTGTGTATGAGCGCGAGTTTTCTCACTATGCACCATCAAGCGCGTTTACCGGCTATCCGAAACTGAGGAGACGTACGGAATATAACGCGAAGATACGCTTGCTCGCTTTCCGGTCATCGGACACTGGGCTCCGCCGGCGTGGGGGCGCGGACGAGGTTGGACGAGGGCATCCAGTCCCCGGATAATGCAGAAGACACCGCGTTGTAAAATTTGTCACGTTTGGGGTGAATCGACCACTCCTGTTCTCCTACTGCAGTATGTTCTGATCTTGCCGCCTACATGAAGATTAGGCTTCGTTCCTTTCCCCCAAGTTCTTACGTTTCGAGGTTGTCTGAGCCTGTTTTTCTTGACAGAGTTGTTCTGTCCATCGTAACACACTCTGAGTTAAGCAAGCGCACCCGGTCCGGTCGTCTGTATTCTCTACCAATCTGTCTGCCGGTGGGAAACGCATGGACACGCGGCCGGAAAGCAGATCAAGGTCGTTCACGGCAACGTTCTCGATGCTGATATTGTCGAGGCCACGGCAGTGTTTATCTACCTCGTCCCCGCAGGCATGGCGGCATTGAAAGAAGCTTTGGTCTCTGTTTTGAGGGCGGGGACCAGAGTTGTCACCTACGGTGAGCGCCGGTGCCATGCTTGCCGTAAATCAGTGATGATCTTGTCTAGTTTATGTAGCTTTTTTTTTTTCCGTCCCATCTCTGGCGCCACCTGCATACTGAAGCTTTGGTCTGTTTTGAGGGCGGGGACCAGAGTTGTCACCTACGTGAGCGCCGGTGCCATGCTTGCCGTATATCAGTGATGATCTTGTCTAGTTTATGTAGCTTTTTTTTTTCCGTCCCATCTCTGGCGCCACCTGCATACTGAAGATTTGGTCTCCGTTTTGAGGGCGGGGACCAGAGTTGTCACCTACGGTGAGCGCCGGTGCCATGCTTGCCGTAAATCATTGATGATCTCGTCTAGTCTATATAGCTTCTTTTTTTTCCGTCCCAGCCTGGTCCGGTGAGAACCCGGCGTGCTCCGTCCCGGCTTTGTAGGGATGCGAGGTCAATGGTCTAACGACTACGGCATGCACGACTATGAGTACACCCCCCCCCCCCCCATCTCTGGCGCTACCTGCATACTGCTCTTCAGTGCGCACTGGATGTTCGCCGCGTATGTGCACTACAACTAGCTAGACGCACCGTGCGGATTCACACAGGAGGGGGTACCCTCGCCGAGGTTTTTCCTTCTCTTTATCTTCTTTTGTCCCCACCTACCTCCTGCGGTGTCCGCCTGAGATATTTGCATCGCGAGAAGGGTACAGCACTCCCTTCCCTCGCGACGGTCAGGTCGATGTCGACAATGAAGTCAATCAATTAATAAAAAATGTAGATTTCGAGAGAAAAAACTCACCACGCCGGGACTCGAACCCATGACCTGGCCTTTAGAAAGTTGCGAGCATACCCACCAGACCACCGGACCGGCCTTCTGTACTATGCACAACGTCGAGTCGCCTGTTTGTTGCGCTGATGGCCTGTTTCCCGTCACAAGTACGGCAGGAGCATCACAACATGCTGTTCCTATGTAGTATACGAGACAACGAGTTACGCGGGCCAGCTGTTATCCTTGAACGACGTGGATTCAAGCCCGCCTTTTTTCCTTGGCATAATCCCGCAGTACGCGGTTGCTTATGGCTTGACTGTGATGGGCTGCTCCTAACCGTGTCGAAAACAACAACTGCTTGAGAAGAATTCGTTGACACTCAATGTCACAGCAGTGTCACAACAAGTAGGCTCCACCTTTTGTCTTTTGCCCTTTCCAAGCGCGCTTGTACACGTCCGCGTCGCGCCAGTTTTTTCTATGCCAGGATTGGATCCTGTCCGAGTGGAAACTTTCAAGGCGACCAAGATCTATCTGTATACCGCAGCTTCGGTGGCAACCCCCGCATGATGAGCTGGACCACGAAGAAGTAGGCCAAGATGCGGCAAGCCCACGAGATGAGCTGCGCACTTCGAGGGAGTCGCCGGGAAGTGACCTAAACGATATGGAAGCTTCACTGTGAGCGTGCAGCAACGCGTCCATCAGCACGGACGGCAACGCTCTCCTGCGTGTAGTCCGCGTGCTACCACTGGCCCACGTGTAGTTTCTTTAGGGCTGGGGCCCTGAAAAGGAATGTTATGTCAAAAGACTGTACCTCTGCCACCAGACGCTGGGTTTCGCTCCGTGCCTGAGGTCCTACTGCGCATGGGGAACGGGCAATCCTGTCCGGAGACGGAAATTCTTGTACATAATGTACAGCGTGTTCGCTTGCAGAGTATTCGGGCTCCCCGAGCCGAAGTAGAAACACCCACCATGTAGTCACCGAACGAGGGCAAGAGACGGTTGAGGTTGGTTGTCATCAATGTCGTCCCATGTTATCCGTGTCTACATGAAACAGTATGTTATTCCTCAAATCCAATCTGCGAAGTGAAGAACGTGCCTACTCTTTCCATTTGCGTACAGTAGCAGACCATGAACCTTTTGAACTACACCCAGAGTGAGCAGAGCCAACCTGGATGACTGCGTTCGGCATTAAGGTCTGTGTGTTTGACAGGGTCACATGATGATTGTTCGTCACGTCGCTCTTGACAGCAGCATATCTGGCGATTTCTTTTTGGCCACCAGCGGAACAAACAACGGAACTCAAAACACTCTCGGAGTTCAGGTCCATGGTAGTACCATCGTTGGGCGGTTACGGCAGCAGTTGTCTATGTCTGTTTTTCACTGGTGTCGCAGTTGTTGTCAATGCCAATCGTCCCAAATGGCACATGTCTGGGCCAGAGCAGTGTCACAAGGCCCTTTCTATGCCTCGGACCTACCACAGGCTCCCGAACCTTCCACAAGGGTCTTTTCAACAAACAGGTACTACGATACTCTAGTCCTTGCCGTCCACGGACGTGTGCCCCGTGCAACGCTCGACAATTCACGACTCTAGAAAGGAGACAGCTAAATCACGTGAGGTACACCAAACGTGACCACAGTCAATACTAGTAGACAACACCATCGATCATCACAAATCGTCACGGATCCACCGCGACCAGTTCCGGTTCGCCCGTCCCACCCTTCCGGTATTCTTCGATTTCCAGCAGCATGTTGTCCATGAACTCGCCGAACTGCTTGCTGGTGCGGTGAAACGCCAGCGCCTTTTCTCGGTCATCCGCTTGGTCAATCTCTGTCTGCGAGGGTATTCAGCGATGGACGAAGGCAAGCCTGAAGAGGGTGCTGTTCTGTGAGGCGGGAAGCACTCTGCCCCCCCCATCCCAGACTACACCACACGCCCTATATTACACCTACAATGCGGAAAAGACGATCCACCCCAAGAGGTACACATGATGCACAAGCAATGTACGGGCATGGGCGTTTACGACGTATTCGAGCGACGCATGGACGGCCCCACTTTGGCCGCAGGGCAAGACATCCCAGCTTGAAGAGCCTGGAACGTGAACGAACAACAACTAGATGCGACCGGCCAGGGTACCGACCAAGCGTGGAATATGTCAACCAACTGCTGCGGCGGGTGCGGCGGGTGATCCACCAACTCCAGCAAGGTTGCCGAACTAACTCACCAACAACTTTTGAAGTTTCGGATCTCGAACGGCCGCCTTCAACCATGCGCATCCGGATATCCGTTCCATCTGGTCTGCGCTCATCTGCCACTCCTCTTCCTCTTTGTCTTCTCTGCCTCCCCGCCACTGATCTCTGCCCTTCCGAACACAGGCTTTGGTGCTACCCTCCACCGCGACACCGCCGTTCTCGTTTGCAACTTCCTCTTGTCTTGCCCGCTTCGCCCCTGCCGGACTGTGTCGGTTGTTGCCGCCGCCTCCGCTGTTAGGACTTCGCGTTGACAGCTGTGCACCGGCGCGTTTTCCTGTGCAGGGAGGGGCGAGACCGCTACCCGCCTTGTGCGCCTTGTTGCACACCAGGGAACAATAGGGCGCAGCGCACCGTGGACACCGGTACTTGGACGGCTTCTCTTTGCAAACGCTGCACGTTTCTGCTTCGATCCTCCCCATGTTGCTTGGTGTCGACGCGTAGCTCTCTACGGTCAGCTGACGGCTGCGTGCGATGACGCGGTCGGGCGTGTCGGAACCAGAGTGATACAGGTTGAGAGTCAGGGCTTGTCTCGCTAAAACAGGGTCCGACACAGCACTAGACTAGTACACTGCCGAAAAAAAACTTACTTTGTTTGAGGTGTGCTTGGAAAAGCAGTTTGCACAACCGCCAACATGCGAACTCATCGAAGGTCGGCAATGCTCAAGCGGATAGCCTTGACTACATGTAGAATACACGAAGCGCGCGTGACTACTCTGGACTGGCTCTATCATAGATCAGCAAACAGAGGATAATACATGGCCGCAAGAGCGCGAGAGGTGGCTGGACCGCGTACACGCCCAATTCGGCAGACAGCGGAAACAAATACACAGCACGCGGTCAACTGAAGTGTGTGCTAGACTTTGACTGTCAAAAATTACATTGGCAGCACGTTTAATACCTACTGTAGCTCTACACCGCTGGGGATTGGAGGCGATGGCGTAGCAATACAAGAAAAAGAGAGCATAGAGCCCACACCCACTGCTGTTGTGGAGGGAGTGTGCGATCGCAAGATTCACGCTCACCTGAAGCGGGAAAAGCGTAAGATGTACACTGTCCGGCGCACGCTCTGAAGCGGGTATGGACCGATGTTCTCCCTGTTGTTCTCCGGCGGTGCTATGCGGGTCGTGCGTGTCAAACCCAGTCAGCTACACGAGGAACTGCTGCAGTGACATTGTGCTGTGGCAGCCGTGCCGTTGCTGTTGCCCCTCCCTGTTGGGGGCTCCGCGAGTGCAACCAATTGCACCCTCTCCGTGCCCGGCGGGTCCACACGTGCGTGCACGTGTCTACTTTACCCTGGCCTGTGTCTCCATACACTCCGCCCCTGGCTCGCGAGTGGCCAACTCCGGCGCAGAATGGCAAACCCATCGATCCGCAGATATCGGAGACGAGTCTTCCCTGCCCCCTCGGTGGCGGTGACGGCGCTGCTGCTGGTCTCGGGGAGCTTGTTGGGCTCATGCCCGACATCCGCGTCAACTTCGCTCGCGGAGCCGCTCGCCCCCCTCGACACGGCGACCTTGACGAGCAACATGCGGCATTGGACGACGGACTACGCCGTCATGTTCTATGCTCCCTGGTGCCAACATTGCAAGTGAGTGATCATGGTAGTATACTTGCGAACTTCGTTGTTGAGTGCTGGAGTTCGCTGCAGAATTGCTTTGTCTCTCGTTCAACATACAGCAGCAGTTACGGATTTGCGGGTTGCCGCCCATCATACGCTACCCCAACACCTGTTGGAGGAAAACCAGCGTGAAATAAAAAACCTTTTCTCTTGTGATTTGATGTGGGCCCGGACCACGTTTAGGTAGGTGTGCACGCAGCATCTTCAGTAGCCGTGAGCTTTTACTTTCCCCACGCTCCCCTAGATTAGTCTACAGGTTGTTTGCTACGCTTGCTACTGCTGTGGAATCTGGGTACAGAAGTAGACCACAAAGGGGAAGCAAAAGGAAACCTTGTTAGCCTCGACGGTGGGAAGCTTGCCCTGCATTTGATACACGCTCAGGAGCATAGAGTTATGACAATGCCAGCATGGGGCCACCTTCCAATATTCTGCCTGTTTTGCCGCGTTGTTGTTTTGCTCCTGCGGGCATGCAGGGAATTGTTCATGCCGCTTTGGGAAGATGTTTCCATGCAGATGGCTGAAGAGGACCCGAGGGGGAAACGAAAGCTGGTTTTGGGCAAATTCAACTGCGAACAGGTACGTGCGTGTGCATTACAAGTGTTCGGGGTGTCTCTACTAAGTTGGTGCCAGTGTTACGCGGAGCGTGCACGTGTCCATACTGCGTGGAGGTTCAGTGTAGACTGATGATGTTCCTGTTTTGCATGCTCCTTTCGAGGTCATGGCGCGGATGATTGTCAACGACGGGAATTCGGCGAGCATTTGTAAGCAATGGCGGCGCCCAAAACTAATTAGGATTTGCTCTGGCCGGTGGCCACTGTCTGCTTTTGTTGCACAGGAGGAGCAGGAGAAATCCCCCCCCCCCCTGGTCCGGTGAGAACCCGGCGTGCTCCGTCCCGGCTTAGGAGGGATGCGAGGTCAATGGTCTAACGACTACGGCATGCACGACTATGAGTACACTCTCCCCCCTTCCCCCCCCGCCTCGCGAAGTCCTGATGTTGGTGTAATGTGCATGATTGTGTGAAGTGTACCGCCTACCCAACATCTCACCCACCGCTTGCACCCAGAGCGATACCAGCTAATGCCCCCCCTACCCTCCCCCCGCGACTCTATCAACACGCTGTCGTCAACAGGACACAACGGCTGCAGCCTTTTGCCAGGAAATCAATCTGCAGTTCTACCCGACCTTCATGTTTTTCGGGGCCGGGAAGTTCCATGACCACGACCCGTTGTCCGGTATGGTTTTGGGGCCCCGGCCGACGGAGCACGACTCGAGCGCGAAGGTGAGACTGTGTAATAGCCAATCAGTTGACACTTAATTTCCCCTTTCGATCATGACGCTTTTCGTAAGTTTCCCTAAGTTATGCCTCTCTGCACAATTGACAGCAGTTTATTCACCCATCCCCGATGGCCACGACGTTCTGAACGTTCCTGGGTGTTGATGCGAAGTGCTTTTGCCGCAGTGATCGAGAGGAAGGAGTCAAAGAAGTGCTACATCTCCCGAACTCGCCAAAGCCCGACAACACACCATTTTTTTCTTTGGGGTCTTGCTCACGGCGGACAATGTTCGTTGTCTCAGCGTAACGTTTTCTTTTGTTATCCGATGCCAGGTGGCAATCCATTCGGCGCACTGAACACGCGTTGCGTTGTTCATGGTCGACTGTTGTTTAATGCATGTTCTACAGACATTGCGTGCTTTCCGCACATCGATTGCGTGCTCATCTGCGTGCCTTGCCTCTTGTGTCGGGAAGGAACGACCGGCAAAACTAGGGTAATCCCATTCCTACGTACTAAGGGTTTACCAGACTCATGATGCGCCATGCCAAGACGTTGACATCTACACGGTCTATGTTGTAAATGCCCACTTTCTACGCACAACATGCAACGCACGTCTGGAGCGGGTACGTACTTTCTGACTTCTCCTGCTGCTATCTACGGCCTTCCCGGGCGAATTAACCTCATACTTCTGCTTCCCTCCTGTATTCCGCTTGTTGGCCGTTCGCGCAAATCGAATCCCGACCACACAACAAACAGTTCCCCGCTGGTGCGGTGGTGTACCACGAAGTGTTGGCGGGCTGGACCAAGACGATGCACTTCATCAGCGGCTATAACCGTGTCATGGAAAGGCTCAACGTGTTCGGCAGCCGCGGCGGGAGAAAAGACAGGGCTGCTTCCGAGGAGCGGCTGTTAGCGGAGATCGAGGCGTTGGAACGAAAGGTGTGCCATGTGCCGTGGTGGATCGTCTTTTTTTTTTGTAGGTGACGTATTTATAAGAAATATATAAACTGGAGTAGCATTTTCTCGACGTCTGTCGAGGACGGTTCCCTCTCTTCTCGTTGGCGTCGGGATGAAGATGTACCGTAAGGATGCGGGTCTGGCACGGATCGACTGCATCGCACAGTCAGGGGTCTTGGCACAGGGGGGGCGGAAACAAATCGGGTTCCAAGGGATTTAATTGGTTATCGCACAGGTATCGTCCACTTCGCACAGGGGTGTGCGGAGACCCCGATACCTTCGGCGAGGTTGGGTGATGCCGTGGTTTCCAGCTTTTGTCGCGGGCCATTACTGTACCAAGGGTCGCTGGGTGAACAGATGAGGCATGCCTTGTCCTGTCGTCCGTCGTTGCACGTGTTGTTTTGCCCCTTCCGAACTGAACCAGATAGTGTCGAGTTCAAGTTGACGTTCGGGTCCTGTCCCCGCCCACCGCCGGCTTTGTCTTCCCCGCCTCTCTCTCTCCTCTTGTGTGGCATGTTTGCAGAATCATCAGTTGCAACAGGCGATGACTGGCGGCGAGGCGCAGGAGAGCAGCTTACCATACGGCCATGGGGACCCCTACAACGAGCTCTGGAAGGTACTACAACAAAAACACAGCTGTCATTTAAGAGCTTCTAGACATTAAAGAATGACCCTCGAGATGTTTCAATGCGGGAACCCTAGCGCAAGTGTTTTGCTGCCGGTTGAGAACCCTGCACTGGTTCCTAATAGAATTCCGTCTTGACGCCTCAGATACGATAAAACGTGGAGGCTCCCTGAAAATATAGCGGCTTGTTCCGGGGGGGGGCTGGACTGAACAGCCGTCCTAACTCGAGCTTCCCAACACGATTTCCGAAGGGAAGAACGCGAAAAAAAATGTGCGACGGTCCTCAAGAGGGATGCACACTCGGCACGGGAAGCATGAAAACGTCGGGTACGGGGATGGCTAGCTGAGTGAGATTGAACGTATTTTAGTCGAGGGATGCTTCAAGTGACATGACCAGCAGCAGCGAGAGATGGGCACAGATGAAATCGCGGTATCACGGTCTCCTGTGATGTGCGTACGCAAGCTAAAGGAAGGAGGGAGGAAAGGAGGCACTGTAGAAGGGAACCGTGTAGAACTGAAAAGTGCGTCGGGTTGTGGAGGAAGAGCACCACAGCAGCGGTCTGGTTGGGCGTTTGTGTCTACACCCTGTAGGCCAGCGCTGATGGCTACAACAGATAGGGAGGACGGCCGCAACCTGCACTATTGTGGCAATCTTTCGGAAAAACTGGAGCGCAGCAATCGGCCCAACGCAGGCCTCATAGAGCGTTTTTTACATCTCTCGCGAACAGATGTACATCATGACGACATACACCCGTCTTACGATGAATACCACCCCGCCCCCCCCCCCC